ACGGAAGAGAGGCTGCCAAAAAAGATGCTTGATTGGGTTCCTCCTGGGAGGAGGCGTAGGGGACGCCCAGTGAGAGGTTGGCGACAGGGGGTGTTAAGTGAGATGAGGGAGTGTCAACTCCCTGATAACCTGTGGGAAGACCGAGCTTTGTGGCGATTAGGTGTCGCAAAGCGCCAAAGAGCGCTATAACAGCGACTCGTATGTATGTATGTTTTTTAATTTATTTTATTTAAACACTAAAATCTGAAATAGATTTAAGTCGTTCTTGCTTTTAAATTGGCTAAAAGGACAACAGTTATTGAGCCTTTTATTTATTCCGAAAATATTTGGCGAAGGTCTGGTCGGAGTGGCGCAAGGCATCTGACAGTGTGGATTTCAATGGGTGGGAGGAGGGGATGACTAAAACGAACCCCTAACACACAGCAGTTCCCCTCGCAGCGTGAGGCTTCAGTCTGGTCTTGAGGGTTGTGCGACCGCCTCAGTAGCTATAATGCCTCTCGCGCCAATCCGCGGTTCGTCTCGTAAAATTGGAAGTGTCGTAAACGGATACTTCGCAACCATCTCAACTCGCGCGTCTAAAAACCTCTAAAAAAAGGACTTGCATCAAAATAACAAAAAATGTGACGTTTATGTGAAAATATTCGGTGCTAACTTTGCTCATTGTGAAATGGATAATTAAGTGTAAAAATCCCAGAAAATTATAATGCAATGTAATAACATGAGAAAACTCCATCAGGTGTGAATTTTCCCCTAAGTTATGATGATCTACAACTATCGTCGTATTGAAAATTAGTCGAATCTTCATTGTTCCACCGCCATAATAGTGGTTATAAATGGCTATCGATCAGAGGGAATCAAGAGAGACAAGGGTGATCAATAAATTAATAAAAGAGGGATTCGACTATATCAAAGTTTTTAAATAATTTTACCTCAGAGGACTCATCCACCATCCATTTTCATTCAACTCTATTTTCAAGGTCAACTGAAAACTTTTCAAAAGTTTAACGATCCTAGAATATGAATACAAAATTATTCCCGAAAATTCGTAAATGATGAAAATATTTTCATGTTTCGTAATTTTATTTTTGATGTTGAGTCGCCTGATAACACTAATGATGCGTGAGAGACTCCAAAGTCGTATCAACTAATCTAGTTACATCCCCTTCCAATCCGTTAGGAGGATATCCGTTAATCATGTCTGAAAACCTAAAATGCAGTATATGCTGCATCTCAACATTATTGTGTTAATTATTTTCTGATAGCACCGAGAAACACAGAGTTTTTTTTTCTTTTTTTTTTCAAATTGTTTTAACTTTTTAATTAAACGTTTTCGGTGACTTTTTGGCACACTCGAGTGAAAATATTCTTTAGAAATCCATTGCGTTTCATTTTGAAGAACTTGCTTGAAAATTATTTAGGAACGTTGTCCAACTTTCAAAATTTAGTCGACCTCTACTCTATTAGAGGGCACATGTAACTCATTCCAGATTTTTTATTACAAAATTCAATTTTTTCACAGATTTTATCCGAGATGTCATATGAATCTTTCAATGTTGCACAAAAATAAGATTGTCATTACGTAAATTACAATTTTATTTAATTTTGATCCCCCTGGTTTCTCAATTCAAGTAAAGACCTTAAAGTTCCCAGTGATTACCGAGCGTCAGATATGCTTCGTTACAGCAATACCTAAATTAAAACAACGTTCAGTTTCATCAAAAAATTCGAGGAGCAGATCATCGTGCAATTTGTTTTTATTTTTTTAAAATATTTTGTTGATATAAACGACTATAGAAAGTATTAACCCTATTTCCCCGCTATAGTCTCCGTTGGCGAACATCACTTTGTACCTCAGTTGCTCCGCAATTTAATACGCGGAAATAATCGTTTTCCTATTAGCTCAAGAAGATTAAATCCTGTTTGCGGTTAGGTACTCGCGGTTGTGCCCCTTTGTCTTTACCGGTCGCTTGCGCTCGGTGGAAAAAGGGACCTCTATGTTGGTTGTACTCAGTCTAGGCGGGGACAGTAATTGTCTTAATTTAATTTCAAAAAACAAGTGCGGGTGGACTCAAATGAAAATATAATTTTCTTCCCGCTTCGAAGCACAACAAAAAACAACCCAAAACGAGATCAAAGCAGTGCAGTGATTACTAGTTTCAGAAAGTGTCTGAAATGTGTCAGAGACCTCGATCTCTACGAAAAAGTAAACAGCAAGGGCTATCCACAAAACAACTCGGAAAAGAACTTTAAAAAAGTGTGAACATATGGTTTTTTAAATGTTTCATTGAAACCTTACATCTGGTGGTCTACAGCGATTTTCTAAAAATTCTGGACACTTTCTGGTGACCTTAGAGTTCCCCAAAATGCTTATTATGAGAAGTTTCAAAAACGTTAAAACGTTCCAGTGTCACTTTCTAAAGGTATTTCTGAAACTTAGTGTCCTAACGTGAAATTATTATGAGACAAAGAGCCGAGGCCTCCAGATCATAGAGTTCTCCCGATTATTTCGATTTGGGAGATTGCTCATTTTTTGTATTTCATTTTTTCTGGCGACAACTAATGAGCATAATTTCTGAGAATTCATACTATTTGTCTCTCATCTTATACGAAATATTCTTTGAAAATCCGAAACAAGGGACTGTTCATAAGATACATAACGCTGAATATCGGATTTCTTCCACTTTCCCCTCCCCCGCGTAACGCACTCCTCACACATTGCCGTGCTAAGGAAGAACGCCGTATGAGCATTTGAGAGTTGCCAAACTTCCTTCGATAAAATGTTTACTTTTTAGGAAAGCTATTTATATATTTCCTTTAAATTTTCAGATTCTTTATAGGTAAAATTGCGAAAAAAATTACCTGACAAATTGGGAGGAAAATGTCCGTAAGTTTACTAGTAAATTCGCGTTTTGTCAAAGGAAATTTGGCAACACCTGGAGGTTCATACGGCGTATCTCCCAAGCACGGCAGCACAGGTGTGCGCCCCGTAAAAATTACCTAACGCTCAGTTCGACCCCCACCCTCAGTTCGACCTCTACCCTCCTCAAATTATCGTTTCACATGAATCATTCATCCTAGAGTCCCTTGAGGGATTATAAATTTATACTGAGAGTCAAGACAACACCCCCTCATGGAGTCACAAACGGGAATAAATATTACACAAATTAAACGTTTTTCGTAATCTTCGATCGGCCCATTCTCGAATTCCTTTCTCCATTCCCTCCCTCATTCCGTTTGTTCCTTGTCGAACCCGTAATTCCTCGGTCCATTCCAGATTATAATCTTTGCAATTGGGGAAAATGTAATCTTTATTCCCGTTTGTGACACTGTGGAGGCCTAAAATACGGCAACCAATCAGAAATGGATTCACATTGTCTTGACTCTCAGTATAAAGGGACTCTAATGGAGCACTAGACAAGGTACGAATTTCAGCATTCTGATTCATATTTCTTAACCAAAATTTCACGTAAAACACGATGCGCACAACGAAAAATACCGAAATCAACTCCTTACGAAGATATTTAATGATTCTTGATGCGTAAATTCAAACTACCCGCTCATGAAAACTCAATACTCTACGTGATTCACATCGCGTGCTAAACGTTATCATGACAGTATCTGCGATTTAAAAATGTGGCAACCTCAATTTTGACGCTTTGGCTCAGCTATAGCAAATTACTCATAGTTTGAACAACACATGGTGGGAAATGAACATCGCTCAATTGAGAAGCTTGCTGAAACCGTTGTAGTGGGCGATTTGACTCACGTAGAGCTTTGAGTTTCTTGTGAGCGGGCAGTTCAAATTCCTCGTACCCAATGTGAAATAAAAACGTTGATATCTTCGTTAGGAGTTAGTTTGAGTAATATCCATTGCGCTAATCGTGTTCTACGTGAAATTCTGGTTAAGAAAAATTTATCAGATTGCTTAAATTCGTACCTTGTCTAGTGGTCCATTCATCCTAGATTGTCGAAAAATCGGCAATACGCACGGACCCATTCTAACGTCACGTATAGGAAACCAATACGCCTCCTCCATACTGTAACGCAGGCTCGGTCCCTTGTTTCCCTCCAGTGTTACGTATTTTATGAGAGGCCTCTGAAAAGACGTTCGAATGAGCTCTATTGATAGTTCGAGGTATCGTGGTGCGCCATTCGCTCCATAATTTGGAGTCGCATGCCTAATTTTATAATTGTCTCTTGCTCCTCTCAATACGTAAAAGTAGTTCTCTGAAAACCTCTGTGGTCTGGGAGCTGAATTTATCAGGCTGTGTTGTGAGGCAGAAATTTGACTTTAATGTGGACCGGTGCAGTTGAAAACAAAAGTTCGGAAATTCTCTCGGCCGATCCCCCTAATCTGCGTCAAAACAGAACCACCGAAACTTTGTCGAATTAGAGAGGCCGGTCTCTATACCAGTTTAACGTGCACAGAGCGTGCTACCCTGAATTTGAAGTATTGGGTGTTTTATTTGCAGTGTTTTGGATTTCGGTGTTAATTCGCTCTCTGGTAGGAGTCCAAATTTAACACCAACGAGGCGGGACAAATACGCGTTTTTATTATTTTGGGATAAAGAGATTTGCCCACGCGTGAGAGTTTACTTCGACTTTCATCAACTGGACTACATTTTGCAATTAGTAACTAGAAATTCCGGCCCGGTTCAAAAACAACGTATGTGCCATTAATTTCCCTATGTACATTAGTGTTTTTTCAGATGAGCCAGAATTTATAGGTCCAAATTGCAAAATGCAGTCCAACTATCCGTCTGAAGTTGCACATTAACGGTAAAACCCAAAAACGTGCACCTCGAGCGCGAAGTTTCAAAATGTCCGTTCTGTTTGAATGGTTTCCCTCACAAAGAATATCACAATGTTTTTTACCCAAAATTTTCAGAGAATATTCGTAATTGTTAGAAAAAACTGAGTGCATAGAATTTATTATCCAAAATGGGTTTGCGTGGAATTTGTTTAACTACATGAGACGCTATGCCTAATTTTTTCTGATGTTTAATTTTTTGAACAGGAACCTAAGTTACGTTTTTAAGTATGTTTTACATAATTAATGGCAAAGGTTGAAAATGTTGAAATATTTAAGTTTGCTGTTTGGAAAAAAAAGTTGAAATGAGAAAAAATTAGGTAACTTGAAGTGCAGTTAGACTGAGACCTGCTGAATTCATCCATTTATATTACTCCTAAAAAAAATGAGACTGGAATTGTGCAATGTCGCGAACCAACATGAGTTATTCCGTAGTTGCACTACAGACATGCCTGAAAGCCTCTCATAGGGGACAAATGCTGATTATGTATATTAATAGATATATCAATAGAGAAAGAAGACAAAGAGAAAATGAAGCCATCCTGTGCTGCAGTGCTAAGGAAGAATGCAGTATGAGCCTTCAGACGTTGCCATATTTCTTTCAATAAAAAACGAATTTACCGGAAAAATTTTGAATATTTTCCTTCAAATTTTTCAGACAATTTCGTTCGTGATTTATTATAAATATCTGAAAATGTCAAGGAGAAATACGCAGAGCTATCCTCAAAAATTCAAGTTTTGTACGGGGAAATTTGGCGCGACGTTTGGCGAATTTTCGTATACCACGTTCTTCGCTAGCACGGTAGGAGTGGTTAGAGTGATTGGTTTCAATGGAGATGTTGCATGTGTGAGGGATTTGCGATTTGACTGTTGATTGTTGGTTCTCTGAAATCATCTCCCAAGCTCAAAAAAAGCTCTCAAAGTGAGGCCAAAGTGGAGGGAATATCCCACCCTACCCTGAGAGTCCACGTCTACATCAGAACAAACTCTCCATGCAAAGATAGGGAGCAAATACATTAGCAGAGTTGCCGTGTTTACAGTTTTGGAGTCCCCAAATAAAGTTGCAGCCCTGTCAATGTATTTGCTCCCTATCTTTGCACGGAGAGTTTGTCTTGATGTAGAGGTGGACTCTCAGGACAGCGTGGGATATCCCTTCATTTCGGCCTCAACTTGAGAGCTTTTTTTGAGCTTGGGAGTTGATTTCAGAAAAAACCAATGGCACCATCGTGTTTCTCGCGAACTTTTACTTTAGAATCAACAGTCAAATCGCAAATTCCTCACACATGCAACACCTTCATTGAAAAAAGAGGTAAGTAAACAAAGAAAATCCATGCGTTTATTGTTGTTCTCAACACCGCATTTTTGCATTCAATTAAATGCGAGAGAACGACGTGAGGTAGATCCTAAAATCGCACTCTGGAGCTCATTTCGATTAACATCATCCCCCGCCACGCCTTCTCCGTTGTGACTTTATTAACGAGTTCCTTTCTCTCGTTCTAGTGGTTATTCGAAGCCCGGGACAACTTAACAAAAGCTCCAGTTAAGGAATGGGAGTTGCAACCCGATAGTTTCGAGCAAAACGACGAAAGTTGTAATGGTTTCATTGTGCTTCGCTCCGTGGCATTGTTTGGGTGGTGGTGCAGAAATTTGGCGTAAAGCTGCCTATTCAAACAGGTATAAAGAGCTCTGAATGAAACATTCGTCGAGGAATTCAGAACAATGACGGATTACACGACCTTGATGGAAATTGTATCGTGCAGCAACAAATCGGTGAGTTGATTATTTATTTCTGATTTAAGATTTTTACAATAACGAAACATTATAAAAAACACCCAACAACGGAAAATAATGTGATTTATTATATCGGTCGATCTAACTGAATCCAATCCATTGAAGTTCATCCTTTTTTTTAACGTTTAGTTTGAATTGCAGAGGTGGGTGTAAGGAGGCGCTTAGCCCAGAACCAGCTTTTGAATCGTGCGAAAACTGCTAAAAATTGGCTTCTTGTACAATTTGGTGACTTTGGAGGGACAAGTTTTCAAAACTAAGGTCAAATCCTAATATAGCGTCAAAAAACATGAGAACCATTCTGAAAAGAGGGTTCTGAAAATATGCAGGCCCTGGTTTCTCCAAGCCTCGATTGGTCGCTGACCGACCGGTCGCGCGCAGAAAAATCGCTGTAACTCGGGAACAAAAATTTTCCCAAAATCATAAATTAAGTGGATTAGATTCCGAATTTTATGGAGAGTCACTTCCACTGATTTTTCTTCACATAGCAACGATCGCCTTGAGAGGAGTTACAATAAACGGGAAAAAGCCGAAGCGTCAAAATCGAAAAAATCGATTTATGATTACGAAAAATTATGCAACCATCAAAACAGTGCACGTGTTCTTGTAGGGTATATTTTCGACGTTTTTTTAGCGCAAACCGCAACACTTACACTCAAAGTGTTCCGATCTTCAAAGTTTTGAAAAAGTTGAAATTTTTACCCCTGCTCCCTCCCCATAATTATTCGAGGGGGCTGAAATTTTGCCTCGGCATCGGTGACACCTACACGGAGAAAAATCTATGGCTTTATAAACCATATGGTGGCTCATATGAAACAACACTGTCCACTAAAGTCGTAAATAAACAAACGATTCTCGAATTTAAAAATTTAAGGTATATTCCTGGTCCCGGACGTAAATAGCCTGGTTGCTGATCGCCGTAAACTAACTAACTATTATTATATGTTGCCTTTACTAATATTAGTGGTGTTCCATATAAACCACTAATTGGTTTATGAGCCATAGCTTTTTCTCAGCGTAGTGCAACTTTTGGGACAAGTTTGGGCCAAACCAAAACGGGGGGGGGGGGCAAAATCGGCATTTTTGGAACATGCTCTGTGTGTTGACAAGCATGGGGATTAGGGGATATGGAATTATGGATATTAAAGGATATGGAAATGAACTGCCCTTAATGCAAGAATCTACTCTGGGAAAGATTTGGGCAAGGGCAAATCGCAATGCAACAGCGCGGTGATAGATGACTGAAAATCACACGATTCGTTGATCAGAAGGGTGGGAGCGTCATCGGTAACTCCTGAGTTTGTCGGTAATATGATCGCGGCACAAAATCCGAAGGGATACACTTCAATCTTCAGGCGCATGATCGCTCTCTCATCCTGAAACTTCGTTTGGGTCGCGTGAATGAAAGTTCGCTTTGACTTCGAGCAACTATTTCAACTCTCCGGGGATCAAATTGCATATCTAACGAAATGAAGGAACTTTAGGCATCGCGATGATCGATAGCGGAGTAATCTATGGGGTATAAGAATTAATGCACGACATGGAATGCCCCTTCATTAAAATTCGATGCAAAACAGGTTAAAGTCGTTGCTGAAGCTCAAAATCACATGATGAATGAGGAGTTAAGGTTAAATTGCACTACTTGTCTCGTGAGTTTAATTCATTTATCCCTTGGCAACACAAATTGCTGTGGATCCAGTGTGTTTGTATTGGTCTTTGAGATGCGAGTATATAGAAAAGCGTAAAACTGGTGAATCAAGTAGGTACTTTTCCCTTTTTTGAAATAGGAACCTAATCGGACCAACTGCATGACGAATCGATGAGCTGAAAAAGGTCTCATTCTCAAGCTTAGAATTCGATTTGCAAAACTATGCCGAATTGTGATTTTTTGTTTTGTTAGGTATTTTTGTTGGGTTGTTTTGTAACGGATTGTGATGTTTGTGACCCTTAACGGGAGAAAAAGTTATTGTTTATCGACGGGTCTCAGTAAAAATATGTTTGCCAAGTTGGATTGAAAACTCGAATTTTGATGCGGTTTTGACTGCAAGGCCATCAATATCCCCAAATAATAAGTTGCGAACGTTTTAATTCATTTTTTACCGTTGAAGAGTGTGCGAAAGGGCCGTTTATAATTTACGTAACGTTACGAGGAGAGGTGGGGGGGAGGCTGAGAAGAGCTTTACGGCCATCTTGTTTTTACGTGTTAAAGGATAAAGTCCCACGCCATAAGAGCGGTACAAGAGGGGGGGGGGGTCAAATAGTTCGTTACGCAATTTATGAACACTCCCAAATGAATGAGCACCTTCATTTTTTTTCGTTGAAGTTGATGGTGAAAATTATAAACTTCAATTCCCCATTATGAAAACTCGATGGAAACCCTTATCAACTTTCATAAATTGTGCATGGGTCCAAAAATAATGGACTGAAGTTCCCCTTCGTTCTTGGGGGCTGCCGGCTGCTCGCTGCTCCTAAAAATAATGAGGGCCGAATGCCGCTCTATGAAAAACCGCCGTATAAACATTCCAGAGTTGCCAAACTTCCTCCGATAAAATGTTTATTTTTGACGACAATTATGAATATCTTGAAATTTTCTGATATTTTAGATCTGATAGCGAATAAAATGGTCTCAAAAATTCGAAGGAATATTGAGAGATTTCCCAACATTGCAAATTTCATCGAAGAAATGTTGGCAAGTCCTGAAAGCTCATACGGAATTTTTCCTTCGCACGGCAGGATTCCGCTCGTTTTGGGCATAAATCCAATTTTGCCTGATCAAAAAGAAGAAGAGACCGGAAAACGATTGAAATGTATCTCAGGTGACAAAAAGCACGAGTCTTGTTAAAATTTAATTAGTGGGCTCTGTGCTCCAACGCGTCGAAAGCATCTTAGAGATTCACCGCTCCTTACGCCCTCTTTGGGAGACGCCACTCGTTGCGGGACTTGCGGGTGAGATTTCCATCGGAATATAAAAACGAACCGCGACAAGAGGAACAGACCAAAGGACGCGAAATGATGGTCAGGAGATTGCCAGATTATTCCTACATTTTCCGCTCTTTATCCGCACGGAACGTGACCGAATCCCAAGGCGTAGCATTTTTCGGCGGAAAAATCGGGATATATTGCGATTTTATCGGCGATAAAATCGATAGGATCATCAACATTTGAGCGATTATCTTCGATCTTATCTGGATAAAATCGCGAATTTATCGCCCGGAAATTTATCGGAATATTTTCGAAATAAAAATCGCGATAAATGGCGATTTTATCGACGAAAATTGATCGCGATTTAATCGAACCGAGAATTGCAATGTGTAGCGATTTAATCGCCATAAATCGAAATTTTCAATGTGAATAATGCGATAACATCTCGATATATTGCCACCGATATAATCGCGATAACTGACAAATGAAATCGCTATTTATCGCGATCACTGCTACTCGGGATCCGCACGGAACGTGACCGAATGGTAAAAGTCGTGCAAAAAGTAAGTTAAATGATTCTTCCACCGTTTATCGACATCCCTTCATCGTTTGATACGGAATAAGTCGCATGAGGGATTTGGCGACCCTAGGGCTTGTGCGTTTCAAGAATTCTCGATAAATCTTGCGGCTTCCTTGCTCGGCACAGCTCCTCTCCTTAAGGTAACAATTTAGAAGTCACGTCCTGACGGATATGAAGAAAGAAAACTGTCGAGGAAGGAGAACCGACAAAGAGAATGAAAGAAAGTCCCACGTAGCCCCCTATAACTGCAGTGGCGAGACGTGAATGTTCAATTATCGATATTTCCCCATTAGAGGCTATGGTAAAGAATCGATTTGTAAAATGATCGCTGCGAGCACCCTGTTCATCGATCCTTTTCCATAGGTTTAAATGACAAATCAATCGACGTATCGCAAGAAATTAAAATCCGAATTTGAAGAATCAAAAAGTTAGTTCAAACTTCCTCACTGCCATTGAGCTCCGCATGTAATTTTGAAACTTTAAACACGTATTTCTCGAAAAAACAAAAACTAATAAAATGATCAGTCAGGATCTGCATTCATTGATGGCACGTTAAAAAACAAACAGAAAAATAATGTACTGGTGGGGAATGATTAAAATTTCTGTGCCTAAATTGCTTCAAGTTGATTTTCCATATGACAATGATCATATGAGGCAAATTTAACCTCGAAATGCGGAACCTGTTGCGCACCCGAACTTTCTAGAGGAGTATCCTATATATTAAAATGCAAAGTCCCGAATCTTGGGGCATTAACTTTGAGAGAACCACCGGACCGATTTGCATGGAATTTTTTTTAAATGAAAGCCCCTGAGCTGTAGATTTGCAGGCTGTGATCGTTTTTTCGATTTTCTCAAATTTTCTCCCATAATTTTCTAAAATTGTCTTCGATGCATTAAAACGGAGGTCCGAATCTTTGGACGTTAACTTTGAGAGAACCACCGGGCCGATTTGCATGGGGTTTTTTTTAAATGAAAGCCTGTGATCTGTAGATTTACAGGCTGTG